ATTTATTAAATATGCTAGTACATAGGAATTGTGGTATGAATCTGAATTTCCCAAAATTTATATAGACCATATTTTGGTCTCCTAAGTTTTCAGCCTTGAGAATTCAAAATGCTTCAACACTGTAGCAAAATCTATGTTTGTGTATTCATAACGTGCAATATTTTCTTTTGTTTCTTTCATTTTCTGTTGATTCTACTCCGCTAAGCAATGCAAGTTATGCAAATGTAAAGATTCGGGATGATAACACTTTAAAAAGGTAGCAAAGGAAATATCAACTAATCACCAACTATAGAAATTTGTTTTCTGTTTAGATCTTTTAATCCTATAATTAAACTTCAAACTTGCAATGAAACACATATTAATAATTAATTTATTACGACTTTTTGAGTTGGCTTTATGATCTCCTCAACCTTCACCACAACATAATTTAATAACTATGCTTTGGGCAAGTTTTTTAGTACAACTCCTAACCATATTATCTCATTCATGCATTCTTCATATGCCTACCACATTGATTTTATCAACTATGCATATAAGTGCAACTTTTACCCCCTAGTATATATACAATTTAATCCATCTATTTTTTTTTTTCATTTTCCATCCTCATGATATTACTCCCTATGATACCAAAGTTAACTCAAACAGCAATAGGAAAGCAATTAATATTACTGAAGGGCAAATAGGCGGTTATAACTAACACACTGAAAGGGAAATAACGACGGATACAGACAAACACAACCAAAATTACATCCAAGGGGTGGTGTCGGTTATAGTTTGGGAAGGTGGCGGCAAGGTAGGGAATGTAGAGCAGCGGGTAGTACATCATTGAAGCAGTAGGTATTAGGTGGGCTGGACAGCAAAGAAACAATGAACAGAAGCGGTTTTGGGTGGCTAGAATAACAACTAGACTATGGGGAAGGGGTTCCAGTTGGTTGGGATAGCATATATGTGGCAGGGAGGCGGTGCAGGAGGGCTGCGACAACGGCTAGATGGCAGAGAAGTGGTTTTGAATGGTTACAACTAAAGCTGCAAAGGGGCATTTCTGGTGGCTGAAAGAGCAGCCAGGCGTCAAGGGAATTGGTTTTCTGGGCGGCTGGAACAACAGCCAAGGGAGGGGAATACTGTTGGAAAGGTGGACCGTAGAAAAATAGCCAAGTAGGGCTGTTTTCAGGTGGATGCAGTAGGTATGGTGAAGGTGGCAGAGAAGGAAAAGATGTTGAAACAGGGAAAGTTGAGGATAGTCACAACCTAAGAACAAGATACAGTCGGAGCAACACTCCCATTGGATACAACCCTAGAAGTAGAAAATCGAAGACGTCCACAGCTATCCAAACAAAAAACTCACCAAAAACTTAATCCAAAACATGAAAAAAGCACATAAATAGTACTAAGGTAATTAGGAGTGGGCCAACTCTCACAAGCAGTAAACCCATGTAAAGAAGGTAGGCTGACCCACAATTTACTGTTCAGAACTGATCCATGTGGCCCAGCAACTCCCACTCCAACGTCTGGTTCAAAATATTTACTCTTGCGTTAGTGGGAGTCACGCGATTGTTGTCGTATCAATGAAGCCTGCATCAAACTCTCAAGGTTAAGGGAGCTTCGACGGATCGAAGCTTCAATGTCCTCATAGTATAAAGTCAAGTTGGTCATATTAAAAGTGGCCAAAATGTTATTAATTCACGGTAAATAAATCATGCAGGCGTTATCATTCCAAAGCACATCCTAGTAGAATAAATATTTACACTCTTTTGGCACAAACTGAGCTGGATCTATATATAAATGTAGATTCTAACCAAGTAACCGTCGAACCTTTAAATTTGTAATGTGCTTCTCCCAGCCCTCATTATCGGTTGGGCGTATCTATAAAACAAGTATGTCAAAAGGAATTACGTCTAGAACAAAATCTACGGCAGGCTGAACCACACTGAAGTGTAACGACTCAGGAGAAGCCTTTTCTTCTTCTCTTGTAGGTGCTAGATCCCATTATAAGATTTTCTCTCCCACCAAGCTTTTAAGGTAACGCTGTGCTTCATCCCTCCTGTCTGGACATATGTTAGTGGGTATACCGTGGAACTGCATTTTATAACTGAATAACTCCATCTAGTTTTCCAGAAAATGCCCCAAAATGGTTTCATCTCTGACATGTTGGGCCTCCCACAATATAGGGGCAACTCATGAAGCCAATTATCTATCTGAAAGTTTATAATTCTCCTATGTGGGGTGGTCTTGTGTCGAGCGTCGGTTTTTAGAACTTAGGTCCGTCCTGGACCATTTATGTTAATTCTATTGGAGTGTCTCTCATGGGCTCTCAGCCTTAATTACGTACTTTCTCCCTCATTGGGTACTCCTTTGTCCTCACCTTCTTAAGTGTACCATGTCATTGCTCATTTCTTTAACTTCTCACTAATCAGTGAAAAGAGTATTGTTATCCCACCTAACCGACCATCACCCCCTTGGCATACAACTCTAGAGGCATTAGCGTTGTAACAGTTATTGTTTTCCCTTTCAATGTGTCAATTGTAAATGTCTATTAGATTTTTCAGAAATATTATTTATTTACTTGTTTTTTTGGTTAACTTTGATATCAAAGAGCATAATCCCCAAAATAGTCTACAAAAATTTAGGTGCCAGTGACATGAATTTTACTTGTGAGAATGCAAGTATTGCTCAAAGTGATGAGAAATGGTTGGCAAACGAGAAAGAAGGGGACATCATCCACAACATAGACCAAGGTCGCTAATGCGAAAAGATTTTGATGATCCTGAGAACAATTGAGAAGTAAAGCAATGAATAGAATTGACCCAGTAGACTCAAGTTAGCCCAGTGAAGAGATGTGCTAATGCCTTGAAGGGAGATGAGGCAACAACAAACATATCGAGGACTATGTGAGGAGGAGCCTATAGTGAGTGAAGCAAACCTCATGCATCGAGGATGCGGAGTGAGAGCATGGAGACATTGCAAGTTCTTAAAAATTTATCTAGTATAATTGGTGGCAAACTTAAAAAGAGGCATTTCATTGGTATCAAGAAACTTTTTGTAGTTATTTCTGCATCATATGCTGAATCTATAAACATCAATAAAATTGCCTAGGGAAAAGCATGTGTTTCATTAATTTCAAGTATCTTCATATGAATTTTTATTAGTTTTGAGAAGCTATCTAGTGCCATGAGAATTGATTTAATATTTATTAAGGAAAAAAGAGTGACAATTATGTTTATAACATTCCAATACGTGTGATAGAGCTTAACAAGCATTAGAAGAAATGCATTGAAAGAGTTTCAATCATTGTAAGATTACAAACAGATCAAATAATTAAGTCTGTATCATTTTGTATTGGTTATAAGGTTGCTCAAAGGATCAAGGGCAGGTGTTTTGGTATATGCTATTTATCAATAACAAGCCACAATCAGTGAATCATCTACAAAACAATTGGAAAGTCAAAATCTTGGAGGATAATTTAAATGCAAGGAAATTGGGATAAGTAGTACAAAAAACAAGTATAAGACATGCAAATTCCTTGGGTTTGAAATTAGAAGTATCAAGTCAATATTCTTAAGATATCATCACAAGTAATTGTAATAGGTTTAAGTATCTTAGTTCTATTATAAGAAAAAATGAGGATATAAAAAAGAACTTCTACAGTTAAAATTAGGTGATTAAAATGGAAAAATATTTACGTATCATGCAAAAAATATAGCACGAACACTTGCAAGTTTATTTTACAGAATGCAAAAATCTCAGAATAAGAAAGAATTGGGCAATAAAAAGTTAAAATGTCAGGAATGGATATCCAGAAAAAATGTGAAAGATGGACTGAGAAAGTAGCCCTTAATGAAACTTTAGACAATAAATAGCATAAAATTAGAAGGATTACAAAAAAAAGAGGTATTTGTTGTAAAATGATAACAAAAAAAATGGAGCACTTCAAACAATACTCAGAATGAATGAATGGAGAATGTAGATCCGGAAACTAACCAAAAGTGCCAGTATAAGGTTAATGATGTAATGATAAAAAATTTCTTCCTATCAGACCATGTAATTAAGAAAACCATCAATGGATGTGCTGGCTTGCTGTAAGAAAATTTATAGAATGTTTTTGGCAATTTTGTGAACATGAAACAAAAAATTTAAGTGCTAACAACACTGAGAATCAATGGCATCAACTAAACGGAAAAGACTTCAATTGGCCTTTTATTAGCACTTTTATTTTCCCAGTCCCAAACACCATAAAGAAATATAAATAGAATAGCAGACAATTGTTGGATAACACGGCAATTGGAGCCAGTGTCAAAAAATTTCATCAGGAATGGATCAACTGCATGATATATACAGAAAAACTTTTGCAAGTCTGTACGAAAGTGCATTTTTAAACTGCTTTTCCACCTAAAAAAATTAAAATCAAGGCATGTTAGTCATTTGAGCCTAAATTTTTTCAATGTAATACCTTCTTCCGACTCCGACCCCACATAGTGGGTTAAAGGCTTCTTGTTGTTGTAGTTAACTTAAGATGTGTTTATTTTGTTAAATAATCAGCCGTACTGTTCAAGTTTAGAAGATGCATCTTCAGGAATTCATCCGTCACTCATCTATCATACCCTGATTTCTATTCTAGCATTGACATATGCATCCAAACTAACCTATATCAGCAGTGGTAACAGGTGTATGTATAGCTTCTGGTTGATTATGCTGGTTGTCTACCTCTTAGTCTAAGCATCCATGCCTTCACTCTCACATTTTGTTTACCTCAGTCTTAGCAGCCTAGCATGTAATAGGCATTAAGAGTTACAAAGTCTGGATGGTAACACATGACATCCGCTAGCTTTCTACATCCCCAAATACTAAATGGAACCAAGCATTATTAAAAGGGACTCCAAATCTTAAATAAGTATAAATAGCATAGCATCCAAAGTGCATCGAGGACGGAAAAGCAGTGGTGAAATGATATCATAAGCATGTATAAGCTATATAAGCTTTTTGTATCTACAGAACAGTCTCACCTCCAAGGCCTTCTCTTCATCATAAATAAATTTTGGTAACTTCCTCATCAAATCCTTCCTGTCAGCTCCAGTAAGAACTTTGCTAATCTGAAATGCCAATGAATCCGTGCAGAAATTAAACAGCAGTTTAAGCAAGACTACAAATATATAAAAAGTCAAGACAAAGGTTCAACCACCTCAGGAGCAAATACACAGCCAAGAGTTCCAACAATTAGTCCTCCCAAAACAAAGCCCCCAATGAAGACACCTGCACTGTTTGCTCTTTCATCCCTGAGGACGTTAGGAAAGAATAAAGTAGCTAAGAATAGATTGGCAATCTACTGTAAACAGTCTGGAAAGACCTACAAGTTTATCGCACAAATAGGAGAAATAACAAGTTGAAAATTAATAGATAAGAAGATATATATGAACTTCATTCAATAAAATTTGAAATTTAAGAACTTTATTAACATTTAGATCTCCAAATAATACACTGCAACCAAATATATTGCAAAATGGATTTGATTAAACTAGTCCTACTATAAAATAAATGGGAAGCATAAATATTTTCTCCAACTTAGGCCATAGGTGATTCAAAAAATCAATAATATCCTCAAGTTTGAGCGGGGAGAATTGCATTGAAGGGCCTAAAACCTTATTATCAATGGCCATAAGTATGCAACCGTACAAATAGAAGAGGGTCAGAATAAACATGAATCTTTACAAATTAGAGCGATGAACTTTGTAAGAAACCTTAGTCTTCAGGGAAAACTTGGTTATAAAATTATGCGGGAAAAGCAACACGAGGTGTGTTTTAAGACATAGGCTCTGTTTGGCGCAACTGCAACTTCTCAGCTTCTCAGCTTTTCAGCTGCAACTGCGCTGCCCCAAGAAGCTGTTGCAGGAAAGCTGGTTGTCTGTTTATTGCAGTTGTTTCTGGAAAAATGACCAGTGTGCCCCTATTTAATAAATTTTTTTTTGTAACAAAAATGTGACACCAATATAGTTGATATTTTCATAATTATTTCATCAAGAACATCAATAGACTTTGATAGGACAAAGAAAAGTAACAGACCAAAAAAAACCTAATATAAAATAATTTCAACGGGTACCAAGACGCACATTCAGGCAAAGCAACAATATAAAGACCAAATAATCATTCTTATAAGCAGTTAATAACCAAGCAACATTTTTGAAGGTCAAATTTCAATGCACCAGCAACCCAAAATTTTCAACGTTTTCAAAATTAGATACCCAGGTTCCGAACATTTATGTTATAGGAATTCATCCTTCACTTTCAATTAATTTCCTCATAAATTGCATATTTTTAATGAGCAAAGGTTCATTAGGGAGAAACTTTTAAATTACAAAAAACTAAAGGAGCATTTGCACACATACCACCCAACTCTTATGTATTAACATATTTAACACCTAAATTTTAACTTTTACATTTATAACACCCAAATCTTTCAATAGCAAATCAACAAAAAAACACCACTATTTCAACTTTAAGAAAATAAAATACACAATTCAATGCATATGTAAGGTAGTATGTATGTAAATATAAATTAAAATCAGAAAATATGCACACAAATATTGAAAAATTAGAAAATCAGCACATATATAATCCAATAAAGGTATCACACATGTAGACACATGATAAAATCAGGAAAATCTGCAACTTCACACATTCGTCAAAAATTATTGAGCTCCTCCCATGTGATTTTCAGTTCTGTAAGTAATATTAAAAAAATTTTGACAAGAATTGTGGAAAGCAAAATTGCACTAGATGAAACCTAGCCACCTGCAGGAATCAAATAAACATCCTATGGCAAATTTCACAAACCATGAGTTGGAATCAAATCATTTTTTTCTGATCATAAACATCACTTAAAACACTTAACCTAAGGCATGTATTTCAAATTCTAGATGATTTAAAACATAAATCCAAAGTAACCAGACATGATTCAAGAAGAAGCCCACTTGCAAGTTGTCACCCTGTCGTTGCCTACTAGTAAAGCTTCGTTCTTCTAATTGAATCGTTGAACAACCAGAATTCACTGAAACCTACCTCAAAAATCCCTAAATTCAATAAAATCCATTGAATACATGCGGTCATTACCAATGTATACATGAAAAACACAGAACCGCATCCACTACTCGACCATTAACTTCTATTAGTACCCACACTGCAAATATAAAAATCAAGAAAACTTATTTGCATTTTTCAGTTTCAAGCAATCAACATAGCCCTTAAATGAAATATATATTAGCAAACAAGACTTGTTATCCAGCAAGGATAGAATCACCATGTGCTAGACTCAAATTATTTAATGAACAAGCATAAACTAAAATAAAATACCATAAATCAAAGAACACAAACACAAAATCCCAAATTACCTTCTGGAGGCATTTTTATGTTTTTTTCTTCATCCCGCACAGCAACTTGCGGCATCCACAAAATCCCAAATTAGCTTATCGTGAACAATGAGCCATATGCTCAAGTCAAAAAAATATGCAGAACGGAGAGGCATATAATCCAAATATACCAACCCCATGATGCTCACGGCTTAAAGAATATTTATATGCCCATCTCAAGCATATATTATTATTATACATTACCTCTCTCACGAACCATGCAAACATGCATTAATAATTGGAAGATTTACATACATACCACTCAATTCATATATACCATGTTTAGTGTCTGCATTGAAAAGTTAGAAAAAAATATTATGTTAAAAGGTCCATGCCTGGATTTGCCTGGATTGGAAGGAGAGGTCTAATGAGCAATTAGCAGATTCAACTAAAAAGAGGAAGTTAACGAGGATTAGTATTGACCTCATTTTCAGTGAGGTCTTAGTCTTCTACTCTTAGAACCCAGGATCTAGCTTTAGAAGTTCCTTGTTGATCATCCTAGTAGACTAGTAATGGAGCCCACCTCTCATAGAACTTCGAGCCACTTCTTACTGATTGACTGTGCATGTCAATGAAGTAGGATGCGTCAGACATGTAATTGTAAGACGAAGAAGAGAAAGCCCTCTTTCTTTTAGTGGTGTTGTTCCGACTACTAGTTAATGTCTTCGCTTTCAGGAGATTGGTCATTCAATCGATGACAGCTAATATCATAATAAAGATAAGAACTCATTCTGCATTGACTCTTTCTTGAACATCTACTAAATACTAAAAAATAGTGAAATTAGTTGTTTATTTCTTATTAGCTAATTCCCGTGGAATCAAATGAGAATCGACGTCCCACCTATCCAAAATTTTGTTTGAGTGTGAAAAAGATCTCACATTTTCTTTCTTTATAGAAACATAGGTTTTTATGTTCCGACTTTGATCTTTCGCGCTTTGGTTTACCGTTTCTGCCGTGGATCTTCTCTCGGTTAGGTTCTCCCCCTACCTCTCCCTAATTCGTTATTTTCACTCTAGATAACTAGCTATCTCTTCTACAACTCCGCTCTGACCCTCCGCTTAACATTTTCCTTACCTTACGGTACACTAGTTTAATCAAGCCTCCTATCCCGGAAAATCTCGTTTCATAGTGAAGTAGGTTCCTGTTGTCACGGGTGTGGGGCACTTTGGCTGTCTTAACCTAATCACCGCAAAGGTAAGCGTAGGTACAAAGTATATAAATCGCTCAAATCTGACTGAAAAAAAACCGAAAAAGCCAACTCTCTCGATCGGAAAAGAATCAATAGGAAAAGAAAGAATCGGAATCGATCGAGATCTTTCTCGAAACAAACAAAGAAAAGAAAGATGAAACATAAAGAATGGATCAAATCAACCTTAAAGGGGGCTTGCTTAAGAATAAGAAAGAGGAATCTTCTGGAAATATCATGGAATAAGGTTTGATCCTATTCATGGGGATTCCGTAGATATTCAATTCCAAAAAGAGAAAGTTCGACATAATTGGGATTTTTTCGTAGATTGGATGCAGTGACTAATTAATGATCTGGCATGTACATAATGAAAACTTCATTCTCGATTCTACGAGAATTTTTATGAAAGCATTTCATTTTCCCAGAACGTATCAGAATTTTTGGCTTCTTCTGATGATTGATTCAACCTCTGATAAAAAAGATAGACCTTGGTTCTCTTTCATCTCTTCAACAAGTTGAGTAATGAGCATAACGACCCTCTTTTTCCAATGGAATGAGCTTTTCGGTCAATTTCCAAACGAAAATTTCAACGCAACGAAATCTTTCAATTTCTTCTTTGACTATGTTCAACTCTATGTATTCCTCTATCCGTAGAGTACATTGAATGTACAGAAATGGCTATAACAGAGTTTCTGTTATTCGTATTAACAGCTACTCTAGGAGGAATGTTTTTATGTGGTGCTAACGATTTAATAACTATCTTTGTAGCTCCAGAAATGAGTAGTCTCAAGCACTCAACCCTTAGTTACAAGGGCTAAGGACTAACATGTAGAGGACCCGAAAATGAGTTCCTACAGGATCTGACAGCCATAGGTGAACCCTCCAAGACTCGAACAGTCGTGAACGCCACAAATCACGCACTCACTGCACCACACACGATGTTGACTTGAATTGACCTAATCGTCGGCAAATTTGTCTGGACGACCCCGGATGACGAAACGGACCACACCAGTGCGTCTGCAACGTCGAATTTAGCTAAAAAGAACACCCATATTGTTATGGTTTCGCACACGAGCAATTAACACAAAAATCGATGCACATTTTTAATTAGCGGTGTGCAGGCCCGGGCTCATCCTAAGTTCCACTCATATTCAATTTGAGCTGGACTCGGGTTGAACATGGGCTAATCACCAGCTCACATAATTTTGAATTTCAAATTTCAAAATTCAAACAAAACTCGTCTTAATTGAAAATAATTTGGTGTTATATTTTTCCATTTGAGCCGGCTACATCAAAGGAAACCATTTAATTCCCCGCCAAAGCTTTAACGTAACGGCTCCCTCGACTATACTAATTGGCCTCATATCCTCTGCGACAGAACGCTTGATTCGATCATCCCCTCGCTCGCAGCCCCGCTCTCAAGAGATCCCACTCGATTCCTTCCTCCTCTGCACCGAACCCCACATGCCTGCCTTCCTTTTCCAGACGCAGAAGAAGCCCCATTCGATACCAGCCTCCCTCTTTTCCAGATCAAAGCCCTCTCGCCTCACCCGCTCCTCTCTGCAAATCGAAGACTGAACTCCCCCTACTCTCTACACCGAAACCCATCTCTCCTCTAGGCATTCGGCTTGCCATCTCCCTAGACAGAAACCCTCGCCTCCCTCCTCTCTCACGGTCGAACAGCCT